TTGGGCATCGTGGTCGACTTCCTGTTTGTCCTGACAAAAAATATGTATATACATGTGTGTGCTTATTAAATCTATGAAGGCCCCACGTTGGGCCATGGAAAATATCTTCGACAAGTTCGGATGGATAGGGTTTATTCAAGTGGTATACAGTAGTGATTAACGTGGATTCGAAGTGGAGTGATAAATATAGGATTAGAGACAAACTTATGAAATCATTTGGAAGTCGGATGACGCACGCAGAACTCGAGAAAAAAAAGTTAGTTGAAGTCTAGAGAAAACAAAGAATGTTGACTCTGGATATGAATCTCTTGTCTATCCGCAGTGCAGCTGAGTGAGAAGGGTGCAGTACAGTATCAGGACCTCATGGGCATTCAAAAATGTGGAGAACGAGGTGGATGGCAATCGTGAACATTCTTCTCGTGAGACCACAGGTCAAAAATAGATTGTTGTAATATGAATTTAGCGACTTTTGGAATTCCCAAGGAATTCTGGCATGTCTAGCACTAGGCTAGAAGGCAACAATTTGAGGGTTTAATGTCAAGTGTTAGACGCAATATTGGTATATGCACATGGTGTGAGACATTGGCTCGAGAGGGAGAGGGCGTTTGAAAAAGGGAAAAATAAGAAAAATTGAAACGAGACGATGCCTACGCAGGCGGGGCAACCCTGATTGTTGTTGAGAGAAGGAAGGCAGGACCGGACGTGTAGCTGTGTACTGTAGTACGTTGGAAGCAAACAAGTGGGATGTGCGACAGTGGGACGAATTGGCGGCAGAGTTTGGCACTGTACACTGCATGGCAGAGGGTATGCCACAATACTAGTGTAGTGACAAGACCGGGGGGTCGCGGATGGCAGTCACGAAGTAAGCACGGGGTTGTTCTCTATCGGCGGTATCGCAGGCCAAACGCGGGGCTAAGGCTCTCTAGCGCGGTGCAGTTTAGCGCGGTATGCGTGCCAAACGAACAAGGCGGATAGGCGGGTGCGACCGGGTCGAGGTCGGGTGCATATGCAGGCGGTTGCGGGGGGGCATTTCTGACACAGGCATGACGGTGGCGGCTCGGGCGACCGGGTGGGCAGGATGAGGATGCTATGACCCGTGAGCATGGGTACAGACAGATCCCTGCCTGAATCTGCACCATTCAACGGGAAACAGCTGATACGCCCCATACAAGCGAGGATGCCGCGAGAAAGGGGAGCAAGCGACTTTGATTGCTGGCTTTGATTGACAAGACTTTATCGCAGGGTACAGTATGCGTATGCGTAACGCATACGGTACCTTTCACCGTTACACGTGTGGTGGATTGATGGGCATTCCCGCACCGCGTCCACGTGGCGAAGGCAAGCGCGGCGCGGGCGCGTGTGTAAAGTTAAAGTTTTAATTGGGCGGCAGAGGGGCGTCGCGT